GACTACGAATCATTTTGAAGATTCAATGGAGGGCATATTCGGACATTCTCTAGCCAACTAAAATATTTTCGACGATGCGGTGTTGCCGCTTCTATTAGAAAGCAGTAGCAACTTTGATTTTTCGAATGGAACATTCTGTATTTCATTGCATTTTTAGATTCTCCCTGAAGAGCTGATTTCATCGATGTCACACTTGGGGTCTAGCGGGAATGATTACAGAGATATAGGGTGTGAAAAATCGACATTTGTCAACTTTAGGATTTTTTGTGTCGAAACTATTCATCATTGGTCAAAACGGCTTACATGTCCCTATCTCAACTTTTGATTAACTATCTACTGATATTTAATTGGGACATATACCGGGTGATCAAGATTCTGAATTCTGCACCACCCTGTAGTTAGTAAGTAAATGTCATTGCAACGTCATCTAATGACCGTTCACAAATAAATTGCGAATCTTCATGACCTTGCATAGAAGAATTCACATAATAGGTTATATTTATATATTGGGGCTCCAACTGATTTCAAATTCATGATACTAGAGTTAAGAATCTAGGAAATTGATCAACGAATATTTGGAGCAGTGACTGTGGTGATTAGTGTAATGTTATAGTAGAGTATAATCTCTGTATAATCTGATGTTGCTATAGGAATGAGTATCATTAGAATTAATTGTACAATAAATATTCAAGATCTGTATCTCTCTATCAGAATATTTCTGAATAGTATTACAATTAGAGAAACTTCTCTGAGATCGAGAGAATTAATTTCATCTCGGAATGAACATATGAAACCTGCCTCACTTGAAAGAATCATGAACTTGTGAACTTCACGATAAAAATGTCTTCTGAATGTCTTCTACTTCCAAAAAGTTCCGTTTTTGATCAATCTGATATGATTTTTTGATAACTGTCAACAGTCATTCCACGTCATTCCTTGTATGTTCAATCATATTAGAAAAAATAGAAAAAATAATTGATAAAGAGCTATAAGTTGGTGGAAACATTAACCTTGGCCTACTGTTGATTATGCCAAAAGTCCGGACCAATACAAGCACGGCTAGATCCGCCATCTTGGAAAAAAAGCATACTAATCCAGTTTTTCTCTCATATCTCAGTTATTGTTGATTCTATCGTATTGAGAATGATTACAAAAAATGAAGCTAATTGAATTCTACATAAAATAGGTCGAGAATATTTTTTTCCTCTTCTCCATATTTCTCCTGTTATAAACTGTTAAATATTTGGATATTTGTATTCATCGCCGAAAAAAATACTCTCTGTATAGAATTTGTGAGAAATTATATAATTTGGAGTGATTATTCGAAAACTTATATAATATTTCCTTGTGTATACAAAACATTTTTATTCGAACGAGTACTTATATAGAAAAAAAAATTAATTGTCCTGCGAGCAGATGACTGAGGTACTGCAGATCAATGATCATCATCATCTCTGTCCTCCGCATCAAACACGAAAAAGTTTTCATCTTCATGATCTATCTCCTCTCCAGTATCACACGAAGTATCTGAATTCATACATGTACCTTGGCAGTACCCACACATGGCTGCACAGTTCAGTCCTGCTTTTCTACACCCGCAAGAGGAAGTGCATCCTTTTTTACAATTGCATGATATCAACCTCAGCAATGAATCCAGGGCTGGTGCCTTCATTGTGTGCACAAGTTTCTCATTACCACGCCATCTTTGTATCTGGTGATACACACGGAAATAGTGTTGTTGAGCTGCTGCAGCTGTGGGAGGCAACGAAGCCAAATTCAATTTGTTTTTATACGCTGACTTTTTGAAGATATTGAAACGATGTTTATTCAAAGAGGTATCAGTTACAGGTGCACCATACATAGCCAAGAAAAATCGTCCCCCAGCTCGTGTTATTCGACTTTGCCCCTTCCTGGTTTCATAAAATAAATATTCTGTTCTTATGGAGCTGAAGCAGTGAGTAAAAGGAGCAAATCTATATCCTCACCAACAATCACAGCTTTTTCTTTGGGTGATACTTCTATCGCTGTTGTGATGATTAGAGTATCGGCATCATCATTGGCATGTTTGATAGTGAATCCTCCAGCCTCGAATCTTTTTGATAACATCAAAATCAATGGAGTTTTATTCTTTTCATTGCCCAGAAATTTTTCTTTTGAGACAGTGGCAGCAATTGTCTCATCGAAGAATATATCTACGCTAGTATTTTTCGCAGACCGCATGCATTGTTCCGCTGTTTTAGTGCTTGAAGCGTTGCTGCTGTTCCTGATTATTTCTTCACATTGTTCACGTATGTTTGGCAAATTGATTGTTATGTCTGATTTCGATGCCAAATGACACGGTGCACGAGATACCCACCGTCTATTACATATCTGCCATCTTCCGCTTACCTGATTCGTTGAATAAAGAAAGGGGGTATGGTGCCAGTTCGTATTCAAGATAACCGGATAATTGTTCATAATATTTTTTAGCAATGATGATTCTTTGGAATAGCATCAAAGGATCAACTGGTACTATCTACGTCGATGATTTTAATAGCAGAGTTGAGAGTTGCTAGAGGATGAACTTTATCAGCACGCTCAAACTTCACGTCTCCGAAATTGTTTCCTATTATTTTCTTATTACCGTGTACACCATTTTCAAGAGCATTGTAGCAATCGATAGTACTCCAACAACTCCGGTACTTATTGAGAAAATTTTATCTGAATTCGGAAAAGGATCATGAGAAGATAGCCAGTGCTGCAACCGTTTCACATCCTTGTCATCTCGTTCTTTTCGTGACTCCCTTGAATCGGCATGCTGTTCGCCACTAATGAAAGATACATCGCAAAATTGTTCTAACCTGTCACAGATGTCCAGAAGAGCAGGCATTGCCAGAATCCATTTGCCAAGAATGCTGTTTTCGAAGCCTCGACATGTTAAACCACCAGTGGATTTCATGCTTCTCATCAAAGTTTGCTCAATAACCATGTGTGACCAAGTTCCAGACCAAAATTAGTCGGTTCGTCTAATTGTAGAAATCAATAAATTTACGGTATTCTCCAATATTCATATGATTTTTCAAATGTAGCATATCTTGGAGATAGAGATGGCATGCTTTAGCGTGAAGGATGTGGCCAGCATGAAAAAAAGACAGCATATTTTGTATATGACCTGCAAATGAGTTGTTGGAAGTAGTGGAAGTGCAAATGCAAGTGCAGACATGTGCACACGTGTCAGGACTTTATGACCTTATTGACCCCTTCTCTTTTTCTCTCCTTGTGTCATCACAGAGTAGGCAGAAGTATTCGTATAGGACGAATCATTCAAGATTATTTAATGGAACATTGTAATTCCGAAGATTTTCGTAAAATGGAGAATAATGAACATCATTCATTGGTGATTTGACACAAAAGTATCGATATTATAAAAAAATTTAATGAGATCTTTTTCATAAAGATCTTAAATTTTTATCATTACCTTTGATACGATAGGATGGACGGTTACGGAAATATGATGGAAAAACTAAATCAGTGTACCTTTTTCCAAGATGGCGGACCGAGCCGTGCTGATACGGGTCCGGACTTTGAGAACAGTCAATAGTGAGCCAAGATGAAGGTCTCCACCAATTTTTAGATTTTTATCAATTATTTTTTCTATTCAGGCTAATTGGATCTTATTGATTGGGCCTGGCCTCGGCTATTCATTTGCAGACTTGACTATACTAGACCGCTTGTCGCCCTGTATACATAAATAACTATTTCCTAAAATCTTGCAAAATGTTACTACTTTTCTCAATCTTTAGTCAGTTTGAACTGTTCATGTCTCTGTATAACTATTTTTCAAGTATGAGTAGACGATATTTCTGCTTCCAGGTTTGAATAATCTTCAATGAAATCATTAACAAAAATAAATTTGACTCGATCGTGAGAAAATGTTGTAAGCAGCATGTGTAAAAATGATAATGTTGAATTCGATAATAACAGTGACAGTAACGGAATAAATTGAGAGTGAAAAGAAAATTTTCATAAAATGCTTTCATCTAAACGCTCTTAGAAGAATGAAATTGAATGTACCTTTATAATTTTAACTATCAACTTGATCATATCATATATCATATCATATCATTGATGATCATAAAAGCTTGTCGCGATGATCAATATTTAATTAAATTGAAATTTCAAAAATTTAAACTCATATAAATTGTGTATAATGAGGTTATAAGTTGATAGATAGATTTTATTCTCTCTAGAGCGAATAAATGCTCTTTATTAAAAATTGTTGTTCAACTTCAATTTTTTTTTTTTATTTTTAGTTATCGCTGGCTAGGTTTCCCAGTCTGTTCATTTCATTCAACGCATCATTGTTGCAAGGTCGTTTGCCGGTTAGTTCAGAACAGTCCAGCTCTTCAATAAGGAGACCGTCTAATGATTTTCCACATAATTTTTCGAGTTGCTCTACACAAGCCCTTTCATTTGATCTTGAATAGTCCGCATCGGATTTGAAATGACGTCACATTATTTTTCGAGCTACTCCCAACAAGCCCTTTCATTTGATACTTATATTGCATGCTATAGTGCATCAAACATAACTATTTCGCCATATTGGATGGTCTACCATATTGGATTCAGAATGACGTCAAATTATTTCTCGAGTTACTCTCAACAAGTCCTGTTATTTGATACCCACATTGTGGAAGTGCATTAAAAATAACTATTTCGCCATTTCGGTTGGTCCGCCATAAATATTGGATTCAGAATGACGTCACATTATTTTCCAAGTTACTCTCAACGCGCCCTCTCATTTGATACCCATATTGTAGAAGTACATTAAAAATAACAATTCCGATATCTTGAATGTGCCGCCATATTGAATTCAGAATGACGTCACATCATTTTTCGAGTCACTATCAACAAGCCCTTTGATTTGAAGCCCATATTGTAGTAGTGCATCAAAAATAACTATTCCGCCATCATGGATGGTCCGCTATATTGGATTCAAACTAGCTTCACACACCTTATCGTGCATTGTCATCCAAACTAAACCTGTATACAAGATTTCAGCTCAATCGGTTGAAGATATCTACTTCAAAATCGAGTTCAAAGATTCCACCCGAACTAACATACATACATCCATGCATTGCAAGTTAAAAATAAAAGCCAGAAACAAAAATGTTGGTGTTGTGCTTTTGGTGGTAATTTCATGCCGGTGAGTGTATCTCAATTAATGAAGTAATCAATACGAGGTAGAGCGCCTTTTGATATGGTACCATTGAAAAATATAGGAATCCAAATAAACTCTGGGACAATAGTCATTTTTATGGCGTCACCTTCCTACAATTTTCCATGCAGAAAGCACAATTACGCTGATAATCAATCAGTTGAATAAGGAAAATCTAAAACTTCTGGAATATTCGTCAGACTGGTGATATGTTAGTGTGTTCCATTCATTATATTATGTATACCCATTCCAAGATCACTTTGAATATATTTCCACTTGAATGAATGGTTTCACTATCTGTTGACTAACAATACGGCCAGTGTAATGTATACTAATAATATCATCCGTCCATTACTTATTTGTTTTTTATAAGAAAAAACAACGAGAGTTTCAAAGTCTGTCGACCACGAAAAAATCTTTAATAATAGTAGTGTAACTAGTTTCGGCCACAGGCCATCATCAGACACAAAAACTGATGTAATGAAGTACCTAAAAGATATATAAAGAACCAGATCAACATAATATTAATGAACAGATACATCTGAAATTGAAAATTTTCATCTGTTCATTAATATTATGTTGATCTCGTTGATCTGGTTCTACTGGACATTTTCCAGATTTAAAACTAATACTATTTACATTCAGGACTGATAATTTGTTTTTTCGACCTTGGCTTATGATAATGTTAAAAAAAATTGCTTCTGATATGTATCACTGAGGTTAGTATACCAACTTTTTGACTATCTTCTTGACTCCTTAACCATGTTCTCTATATCTTTTAGGTACTTTATTACAACAATTTTTGTGTCTGATGATGGGCTGTGGCTGAAACTAGTTACACTACCATTAACAAAGATTTTTCCGTGGTCGAGAGACTTTGGGACTCTCATTGTTTTCTCTTTTAAAAATCAATTGGACCACTTTGAGAAATATGGATGATTTCCATTACTTATTTGTTTGCAAACAAGACTCATCTCTGGGTCACGATTACAACTTATTACTCTACTAATGCGAGGATGGATGCTTTTGTGCAAACCGCTTCTTCATTGATCAGAATATAATCCCACAATCATTTTTCCAATCAATCACTCACACATCTAAATTATCATTATCTCTTTCCTTAAATATTCTTTGAGAGGTAACCAATTCTGACATCTCAACGACAGATATGAGTGAAAGAGCTGACGCGATTCTGTCAAAAAGCAACCAACCCATTTCTCCATTCAAATTTTTTAGAACATTGTAAGATTTTTTTCTACGTCCATCTATGAAAACAACATAAAACACACCACTTTGTTATTTTGAAAGTAGCTCATGTCACCATAGTGATGCAAAAGTTCGAAAGTGATTCTCACGTGTGTTAAAATATTAAAAAGCTCACGCTCACCACAAGTATATGATGAACTTACTTGGTAAATGAATCACCATTGGTATTTATTATACGTCCATTCAAATACATTCATTTCCAATAGTTTATAATTTTTATCATTTCGCATCTTGATCAGGAGCATGCTTCTTTGTCATTCATAATAAATTATTAAATCATATATCGCGAGACATAACCTCGTTGCTGTCTACCACAGCGCAGCTAATAACTGCTAATGTTGATGTTACGTTTTTGTTAAATTAATGTTGAGCTAATGGTAGGTTAATTTTAAAGTAATGTGAATGTAAGTTATGGTCAAGTTGATGGAAAGTTAGTGTCGATTCAACATGAGTTATTTTCATTAATGATGACGTAATGTTGGGTTAATGAAAAGTTGAAAACAAGATGATTTCAATGGAAAGTTGAATTGATGTCAATGTAATGGCAATTTAGTGTTTAATGTGAAGTTAATGTCAATTTGATATTGAGTCAATGTTAATTTCATTTTAAGGTAATGGTGGGTTAATTTCGAGTTAATGTTGATTTAATGTTGAATAATTATTGAGTTAATGTTGAGTTGATGTTGAGGCGATGTTAGGTTGATTTTAAGTTAATGTTAGGTTGATGTTGAGTTAATGTTTGGTTAATTTCAAGTTAATGTTAGATTACTGTTGAATTTATTTAAAGTTGATGTTCAGTTAATGTTGAGTTGATGTAAAGTTCATGTTAAGTCAATGTTGAGTTGATGTTGAATTAATGTTACGTTAATGTTAAGTTATCGTTGAACTGATGATGGCATTTAAATATTGAAGTACAATTATTGAATAATAATAATGATATCACCTTCATGTGATCCAATATGATTAGAATCATGATCCCTACTCTGGTCTTATAAACAATCATGACATATATAATATAAATATTTGGGGTTGTAGATAAAATAGTGCACAAAACTCGTACGTAACTTCTGCATTCGTGCGTAATATGCTCCTTACAACACATATTACGTAATATATTATTCTTGAGCGAAGCTGGACAATCAATAAGCAAGCAAAGATACATCGATCCTGTATCGCGTGTGCCTTTGTTGTTTTCGAGCATCCTAATCATTCTGACATGCACCAAAATAGGTATTTTCGATCACCCAATATAGTGATGGAAGTTCTTGGATCGTTCGCTGAAATCAATCAGAGAGAAAGGATATGTTGGATATATAAAAAAAGGGTATAGAAGACGATAAAATATTTGAGAAACCAGAAGGCACCATATGTACAGGGTGGGCTAAATTGGTCGTTTTCATAGGCTATCTCAGTAACTGAAAAAGTTATCAAAAAATCGAAATACATGTTACGGGTTCGATTTCAGTGAAACTCCGAACGGTACAATTGGAATTTTGATATCTTCATTCGTTTCATAGATACAGGGGGAAATTGAGAAATGGCAGATTTTGTTTTTATTTTCTGAGTACTTTATGAAGAGAGATGTTGAAAAATTTCAATTGTTTATTTATATAGAATGATACGTAGAATCCATTGGCATCATCAGTATATCACCAGTATACAGGGTGACATCAAGAAGATACGGCAGTCAATTATTTTTTTTTTCAATGGTACACCCCGTATATTTTGGCACAGTTGGATAGTCCTAGGCATTCCATTTAAATATATATACTACCCTACCTTTTTCTTTGACAACTTTAGAAATATTCGCAAAAATATAATCAGTGTGTCACATTTCTCATGGTTGCACCTCTGTATCTTCCGTAATAATCAAGGAGGTAGGATTATGACATTCGCAGCTGTGAGAGAGATGCCAATGATACACTCGTGTATCAGGTGGGATCATCTCCAGTGATAACACTACTCGCCAGCAGCTATGGAATCACCGAAATCTCTATGGAAAATGCTTTTACATGCAGTCAAGAACTACACTAGATAGTACCTTGAATTGATCGGTTCGTGTTATTCAACACCAAAGTGTTGTACTATATATAATCATTTGGTGATTATTTTGACACTACATCTGTTGCGTTCTTGCTTCCACTGATAATATTATGATGTGATAAACACACTAATTAAGTGTTATCACGCTGAGAAGCGGTGCTAATTGTAGTGAGAGTTGTGCACAGAACTTATACTTAGACATTCAATTTTATGTTTCAATCTGGTTCGATATGAGTACTCTATTGAATTTCGCAATCTCGAAATCATCATATATATTTGATGAATCAACTTAAAATTCATTTATTATTCATTATTTTCACGAAATCATCCGTTATTATTGTCACCTATCAATGTGGATACCAGAATGCGCGGAAGATGATATACCTACACTACATTTTTGAATGAGTTTAGGTTTTTCAGGGGGTAACTTGAATATCAGCAATATATTATTGGAGAATGCACGACGATGAGGAAATTATATTAGCCCTAAATCTCATGATTCATACACGGTTTTGATTTATTCGTGATTGGTCAAGGTGTAACGGTGTAACTAGGTGTGAATTTCATATAATAAGTGTATTCTCTGCGTTAACTTGGTTAATACCACTATCGAAAGTAATACCTTTCCATCCTTTTGGTGTTTCTATTAAAGGAATATTTCAGAACCCCTCTAAATTACCACATCCGTTTAATTTCCCACTATGAAGGTTTGAGTTGACACCTTTGTACACGGTATCATAAATTTCCAATATTATTGATATTATATTGCTAATCAAGTGTTGATTCAATCGGAGTTATTTCTCAAATCCACTCGATTGAAATTACACCCAAAAATTTCTCACTGTATACTATTTCTCTCAAAATACTCATTCTCGATTTATTTGTGTCAATTTTCATTAGGAAATTGTTAACCAATTTGGATACGTCTCAAAATTCAACATGATAATGTATAGAGGCCTTCAAGCTCTGGTATGAGTTCATCGTGAATTTATTAGGAATGTAGTTCTTCGACTAGAATGGTGGATACAATTGTTTCACTCAATTATTTTCATTTAAGTAGTGCTACCAATCATTGGATTGGTTCACTCGTAGTTTCACTCTGTAGCTTCCTACGTAGTGGTTTTTTTATATGAGCTGTTAGTGGAAAAATAGTTCGCATTATGAAATTGTCTCTTCTTCTTTATGCAAAAAATTATCTTCTGGTTGTTTCGCAGTAAGAGCCATCTCATCTGAATTGAATATATCTGCAGCAAGATCAGTCTAGTTTGCCCTGATGATTGACTCAATTTAATGATATGGAGTTTGTTTTTGAGATAAAAGTTCTCAATTTTTATCGAACTCTGTGTTCATTTCACAAAATATGGCGGTAAGATACCTCAGTAAAGCTAAATCCAGAGAACCATATCAATTCTTATTTGTTGCATAGAAAAGACTGAGATTGACCAGCATCTTCATTCTAGAGAGTGTATAAATATGACCCACAAAAAATATATCATGAACATTCATTCCATGTCGGTATACAACACAAGAAATGTTGACTGTACGGTTTCTGTACTGATTCCTAGAAGTACAATATTAAAAAAATCATTATTTATAATGTCAAAGAAATGTTCAAAGAGCTGCTGTTGAATAAAGCTTATTATACTTTACGAGAATTTTATGAAGACGCATTTAATTAAGCTTGTCAGTTTTTATAATTCGTTTTTCAATTGTTCAATATCTTTTTTTTTATAGTCTGACTTTTACTATATACTTATATACTTATATATGTGCATATTTTACATGATTTTATAGTTTTAATGTTAGTTATAGCTCATCCTACACATTCTTTGTCAACAAAAACTTCTGGTTTTTAGTACAATAAAGACTGCTTCTTCTTCTTTCAGAAAACTCCAAAAGCAACGTGAGAAAATCTGCAAGACCATCTACAGCAGCTTCCTCACGTTAACCGAGTGCTACGAGTCCTTCGATCTCGCTCGAAACCGGTCCTGGGATGACGAGGACCCGCTCAACCTGTTCGGCTCTGTCGAATGGACCGCCGGCGGATTCAGAGGGACTAACAGCACGAGCGACGTGAACGGCAGTGCCTCCGCCACCGGGTCCAGTAACCTAGACGAGGGTCCCACGCAGGTGCTACCGCCGTTCAGCCTGTGGCAGACGATCCTCATAGCGATCAGTTTGGGGATTTGTATCATATTGACGGTGGCGGGCAATATTTTGGTGCTCCTTGCTTTTATTGTCGACAGGAACATCAGGCAGCCTAGTAACTACTTCATCGCTTCTCTAGCTGCCACCGATATGCTCATTGGTAGGTTTTATATAGTATTCAGTATTGTTCATTCGAAACGTTCTCATATTCATAAGTACCTTGAAAAAATGAATACATACAGGGTGTTTCCAAAAAAAACTAACCCCGTTGTTAGGGTAGGTGGAATATAGCAAAATAAGTTGGGTTTGCTCAGTGAAAAAAAGTCGTAGCGGCATCCGTTTTCAAGATACAAGGTGATGAAAAAATATTTTGTTCACACATTTTTTCCGATTATGTCGACACCACTGGCAACATTGTGATGAAATTTTTTATGGATATGTTCTGAAAGCTGACACACCGTATCAATTTGTTTTTATATCTGACACTCATAGAGGGCGCTAGTTAAACGATTCGTACCGAGTTATTTTGAACATAACTTTTTTGAGGTGAGATATTTCAGTCCAAACTCAATGTGAACTTAACACCATTCAATTATACACCAAAATGATGCTCCTAGTAAAACTCGATACTGTGTACCGTTTTCGAAATTTTCAGCAATAACTCTGATTCTGGTATTATAAAAAACAATTATCTATTTATCAAGGACAAAAAACATAATAGTAGATTGTTTTATTGGATCAAGAATGACACTTTGTTTGACAAGCTCGGCTTCGCTAAACGCTCCGCCTCGGAAATGCAAAATTTTCGATTGAATCTTGAAGGCTTCCCTGATTGAAACAAAAATACTTGACTGAGATGTTTATAATCTCTATACTCAACTATAATGAACTGTATTCATATCTCCAGCATGATTATAAAGTGCCAAATCTGCCGAAATCGGAAACAAATCAGGTATGCGTCCCAACCCAAATCACCAACCGTAACAATGTTGTTTATTCTTGATGACGTCTAGTACATCCTTTTCAGTTCCTAGGAGCTAAAGGTCAACTTTAGCTCCTATAGGAACTAAAGTTCGACTCCAGCTCCTAGGAACTAGATATGTTGCCTAGCAACATACCAATTTTTGTGTCAGTAATAAAAACGTCAATTCAAGAGCTAATTTTGGTATTTAAATGGACGACTTTTGTGTCGGTTGCAGAAAAACATTAATTTATTGCTGGAGTAATCGATTAAACAAAATCAGGAACTATTCAATTAAATTTGACTCAAAAATGCATCTACTACCTAGTGATCGACGAAATCATTATGGTAAAAACGGAATTAGGAACAGACATACTTTCAACAAAAAAGTTCCCTAAAGGGTACTTGTGAATTATTTTAAAAATACGAGTTAAAATTGTTTAGTAGTTTAGTGCAGGTCCAGGAAGAGCACGAGGGACCTCAACCTTGATTATTCTGACGAATATTCGATATCTTTAATCATAATACCTAATATTGTCGACAGAGACTGAGTGTCAATGTCAATGAATGAGTTGACATGAGAATGAAGTAGACAAGTGTCATAGTGACCACACCTTGTGAGCAAGAATTGACAAGGAAATTAACTGTTTGAAATTTTGAAACATGAGAGTAAGATGAAATGGACTACATTCCAGGCCAAAGAGTAACAACCTTAGTAGTGAAAATTGGGAGAAAAGATTTCCAATCAAGACTTCAGAGTCCTGGTGTTCAGGCTGAATGGTCAAGGAAAACTCCTGTAGTAGAAAGCCTCATAAGAAGCAAACATACCACCAGAATACCTCCCGACTCAGTGCGAAGACCAAACTCAAGTCCCAAATGTAAGCTGGATCCTGATTGCAATTGTGTTGTGTTGGGTGAAAATTAAAGAGCAGGACTTACATTTCGGGCTTATAAGTTCTAATGCTCGAGCCGAAGGTCCTAGGATGCCCAACTCGAGTTGTAAAGTCCCAAGAGACTGACAACATCAAAAAAGCCTCCCGACCTCAACCGTGGACTTGAAGTTGAAGCCGAGATCTGGAACAGTGTCTTGTATGAGTTATAATGAATATCATCATGGAGAAGTACTTGTTATTCGAAATCAAACAATGGGGAATCATTGAGGTCTACTTGATCGTTAAGTGAAATGTTATTGATGTTAATTTCACTTAACTATCAACTAGACCTCAATAGTTCACCTCTGTTGAATTGGTTCTCTTGATATGTAATAATATTTATTTGCTATCAACTATTTCAAATTAATTCTTTTCACCGTATTTGAATGTAAATATTGTGCCTATTTTCCAAAAATTAAGGTTCATAGAGCCACAGGTAATTCTAAACCTTCAGGTTGGGAGAGTAGGATAAATATAAGTTCAGGGACAAGGCAAGTTCATTTCATTATACCAGTATTTCATCTGATGAAGCTATATTGTGTTAGCGAAACAATTCGTGTGATTAAGGATGATCTGGAAATCTCATCGTTCGTGGAGTTTTTACATTTGCTATGGATTTTCGTCAGTAAAAACCGAGTCAATTCAAAAATGAGTGATTCCAAATTAGGTCAAATATTTGTCATTTTCCTTTAATCATCTGAATAATCCGAGACTCACGAGTCTCAAAAACGAATTCTGATAGTTAATATCTAAGGTACCGACGTATAGAGTTTTATGTTTGATTGTTGGATATTTTGTGTCCTAGTGTTGAAATAATGGCCTGGTGCGCGTGGCACGAAATTATGGTTGCACAGTTAACATAACGAGTTAACGTACATCAAGTGTGCCGACAGTAGGTTCGACTACTGGATATTCGGCAATCTACTGTGGTAGGTATTGCTTATAAGTGACAGAACAAAATAACATTGAATATAGAAAAATTCAGAACGATTGAAGCTATAGTGAATTTGACCAACAATCATTTCTGCCCAAAAATGTTTTTTCCTCCGTATTGTTTATTATAAGAAGTATCCTCTGTCCTTTTTTACTTATCGAACAACAATGTTCAAAAAAAGTCCTGCTAATTGTAATAAGGAATAAGTATATAAGATAAATCGTAATGATGATGTCCCTGCAAAGTTTCATAATAATCGGTTAGGTTAGGTTAGGTCAAGTGAGAATAATGGAACATAAATTATTCAAAAATGTTGGGAAGATGAAAATGATGACAAACTACTGGAAAAACATGAAGCTTTACAAAAACGAAAATGTTGAAGAAGCCCTAAGGTGACAGAAGGACGATCTAGCCTTTAGATCAATCAAGAGGCTGAAGTGCACAGTTGTAGATTTTTCAACAATCATACCTTGCGAATGAGTCATGCATAGACCCCTACCTTAATATGCTTACAGAAAGGCACCAAGTGATAGTTCTGTAGACTATAAAACACCTAGAAGTCTCGAATGGCTCTGAAGGCTAGAATATGTCTTTTTTGCCTTTTTCATGCTTCCATTTGTATAATGTATGGTAGTACCCTCAATGAATCATTGTCAGCTGGTGCAACTGATGAGGCTTGGCAAGCCGAAACTGTCTTGCATAAGTTGACAATTGATTCACGAAATTCTCCTAGATTCTCTTATTCTTGAGATTCCAGGTTTATCGAAACTATTTTAGTTGAATTCCCTATGTTTCCTTCACCGACACTTTCAGAATCGTGCTTTCTTCAGTTCTCCATAATTATATAAAACGCGTTAACTCCTGAAGGAATACCCGGTATAGTGGTTGATTCAAACTTGTGTATTTGGATGAATCGCCCATTAGATGTTTATTATAGTTTGCATAATTTTGATCAATTTGTGCAATGATACTCTTATGTGAATTTTCCTCAGCAAACACTTCTCTGAATTAGAATTGCTTCTTGTTTCACTCAGTTAGTCACGTTTTCACGCTGGGAGAAAGAAAATCTAATTAATTCGAGCAAACGATCATGGTATTTCACTATAATTTCAGTTTCAACCAGAATTAGAGTAACTATCATTAGCGCTTTTAATCTCATCAGGGAATATAGCGTATTCTCATGAGGCGAATATTATATGAATTCTGTATAAGTAGCTTCTCATAAAGTACTCACAGTATGTAATCAACGAAGGTAACAAATTTATTGCAGCACTTTGCACTCCAAACACGTCCCTTGTTATGAACAGGGTTTTCATTGAAATAATAGACCGAGCCCCATATATTCCCGTATTTGGCATAGTAGGAGAACTGTCTTCAGAAATGAATGCTACGAGTTGGCTCTACGATTAAGCCAAACACCTAATCCTAACAAAAGTTAATCTAGCAAATTCATTCGTGAAGGATCCTTATTCTATCAGAGACGACGTTGGCATCTAAATAAGAAAGAACACTGTAAGAATTGATTCTCAAATCTGGTTCTCTTGTCTCAGTCACGGTGTTAGTGACCAAACTCCTCCGGAACGGCTCGACCAATTCGTATGGACATTTTTGTGCACATCCGGTAGCTATGAGAATCGAAAATTCAAGATGACGGTTCCAATATGGCGGACGAGCTTTGTAATCCAATTTTATTCAAAATTGGGGATTTTCGGGGTCCCAGATTATGAGTTATTCATCAATAAAAGGAAATTCGAAATGGAGGATCCAATATAGCTAACAAGTTTTTGTTGTCAAAGATTATGATTCTTTCGTCGGAATTAGGGAAGTCATCAGGATGGCGGATCCAATATGGCAGACGAGTTTTTCAATTATGATCAGATTCCATTCAGAATTTGTATCTGGGGGTTTTTGGGGTCAGAGATAATGATTCTTTCGTCGAAATTTGGATATTCTAGATGGCGGATCCAATATGGCAAACGACTTTTGTTATTATGGTCAGATTGTATCAAAATTGGTAACTATAGGTTTTCGAGGTCGAAGATCATGATTCCTTCGTCAAAATTAGGAAATTTGAAATGGCGGGTCTAATATGGCGGACGAAATTTCCAAATATGATCAGTTCTATTTTGAATTGGTATCTGAGGGGTTTCGGAGTCGCGAATGATGATTTTTTCATCAGAATTTGGAAATCCAAGATAGCAGATCCAATATGGTACTTTTCATGGGTACAAATGCTGAGAGATGTTAATGTGGGGTCAGGTACACACCAGAAGCAAAAAATCCCAAGGGCACTTTTTTGGTGAATCGATCTAAGCGTTGTTTCGACTTCCCAAAGTATCATTCTATTTAGTGCTAAAATATACAAGGAACATTTTGTCAGACTGTGCCATCTCTCGATGGAGGGAAAAAGTTGTTGAATGAAAATCCTGTGATAGTTGGGAACAAAACGGCTCAAGTACCATTCAGGTTGTTTTACTCCACAACATTCGTCTGATTTTGTTCATGTAGACGAATACGTGTGTTTATTTTGCCAGTGATTCGAGTCGAGGTTATCAATTGTTCGTACTGAGTGACTATTCCTTGGTGTGTGCATAAAATATAAAAGTTGGACACTGTAAAAGTCACGATATCTGAGGCAAAAGTGTACCTGTCTCATGGAATCATTGACATAATGAGTTTATGAAGGAAAACACGATTTCAAAAAATGTCCGTTTATTTCCAGTAATCTCACGAAGGACGGAGATTCATAATTAGAACGAAAATATAGAGAATTTCGAAAACACTCCATATATTGTGCGGATGATATAACAATTAATGGTATAGGTGACTAAAAAATAGTGCCGCACCCAGTTTTTGATGAGACTCAGAAAAGCGTCGAATAGCACTAGAAAGACAACGAAACCCACAAAAATGAAAAAGAATACCGAAGGACGACAAAATTTCAGTAAAAGGAGAGTTAGAGGGCAAAAAGAATGTCAGGAATATGTACACAGATGTAGATATCACTGTTCTACATTCATAGAAGGAGAACGGAAAATACTATTGTTCTACGGCTATGACAAAAGTCCGATCTTGTTTTACTGTGTTTGATAAATCAATGGGATACTTTGTATGTCATCAATTTTATTTCCGTATCTGATATCACAATGACTCCACCGTGTTATGATTCCATGAAATCTGATATGAAATGAAAATGTCAAGCAATGACATCTGTGTCTACTAGGTGAGCATTACTCAAGAGGAAATCAGATGGTTACAATAAGCCAGAGAAATAAAAAAAATCGCTGTTATCTGATGCATCCGTAAAAAAAGTATAGTGTATAACTCGTACGCTAATTTCCTACTCGTATGATTCACAGACAGAGCCGTAGGATGATGCTGCAAACTTTATTCTCGTGGGCAAGAATCAAAATAGCTTACTGAAACTCCAGCTACTGAACTTGATGAATACTATGTGGATAACTGATCTCTGATTATAAATAAATATTGTGTTCATTCTATTTTGTGTTGTTATTTGATGATTCTCATGTATTTTGATAAGATTTACAACTCTGATGTCTTTATACTTATGTCCCATTTGTACCATATAATCCCAACTTGATCAGAATCAAAAGTGCCTAAGTAAGTTTTTGGGCTGAGGAAATACGAAAAATTCAATGTTTTGAAATAATCTATTTGCCTCTAGAATTGTGAATCTATGATATTCCACTAGGGTATATAACAAATCATTCAATAGTATATTGGAGTTTTCGAAATCATCTGAACTTCAACCTTCATTATCTCCGAACAATCATTTAGTGACTCAGGCTGTTATGCTTCTTATGGTGAATCAGTCATCATCAGACATCAGTCATTGAAAACACTTGGGGTTTACAAAAAGGTGAATTCATGCAGCAGTATCAAGTCATGTTTCAAGTCGTAAGTATCAAGTCATAAGTCTCAAGAAGTTCATTCATTGCTTTTCAATATACACGTTCATACAATTGTCATTAGCAGTCATAAGTTTTGAGTCGTAAGAAGAATTATTGGCCAACATTCATCTCTTATGACTTACAACTTAAAACTTATGACTAATTTGCTCTGCGCATGGGCTGTGCCTCATCATTTGTAATTTTGGTTAAATTATATCCATTCTACTCAAATCCAAAACAGATATTTGTTATTGTTCAATAATGAGAAAAAACAATTCTCCTCAAACATGTATAAGACTGATAAACAATAAGCGAAATGAGTTCATGAATAGGGGTGCTTTCCTTATGATATGACAGTCCTCATGATCATGGCGAGATCTTGGTTTCAGAGGAATTTATTGAAGCTGATGGAAAGTTACTCGACTGAAAGGAAACAATTTGTCAGAATCAATAACTGCCGAAGTAGTGGAAGAATAGTGAAATTTGGAATCCCACAAGGATCAGTCCTAGGACCGATACTATTCAACATATATCTAAACAACAAACAACCTACTCAGTCAACAAAGCGCCGGCACTATAGTTAGATATGCCGACGATACGGCTATATTATAATCATGGCATGAGCTGAAACAGATAGCTGAAGATGACTTGAAAATGCTTACAGACTGGTTTGGACATGAATTGTCAACAATAAACCTCACAAAGACAATGTTCTTATCTTCCAGATGTTACAAAAATGAACTCCCACATTAGGATACTCTTGAAATTGACGAAGAAAATCAGATATCATCAATAAAAAGATGAAATCCCATCAAATACTTAGGAGTAACCCTAGATTGTAACCTAAGGTGGGACGTACATATCAAAAACTAGTACAAACATTGAGATGTGTGTTACATAAAATCAGGTACTTAAAAAAAGAGGGAGGGTTGCTGGGCTGTGTGCACGTGAATATATTGTCGCAGCGACAATGGCTGCGTAACACAATGTAATCTATATTTTACCTTTTGGGAAACACATTTTAATTTGTTTGTAACGTATTTTACCTTAATGTCGTTTGTTTCAAACTGGACTAAAGATATTTTTGTGGACGAATTTTCCTGTTAACCTGACGAGTACGCACTGATGATGACTCAACAGTCGAAAGCGCTCTGCTACAAATATTGAATACATTATTTTGCACGAAATACAAATCTTCCCTCCTTCAATACTTAAGAGAATACCTTGACGTGCAACAACTGAAATCAGTTTATCACGCACTAGTAGAATCCAGAACGACTTACGGCATTTTGAGATGGGGAGGGGTCGCTTCTTGTCATAATTATCACGAAACTGGATACCCTACAAAAGCGATTAATAAAACTGATTTTCGGCAAAGACAGAACATATTTCTCAGACCTCCTATATAAGGAAACGAAAATATATGACTTGCGGCGATCATTCTTTCAACACTTAATGATATACCAATTCAAAAACAAACTATCGCTTGACTATTTATTTATTTAGCTAGCAGAATATTCAATAAAATCCCAGCGGAAATTAAAAATGTCACAAATATAAAAAAATTCAAATGGAATCTGGAGAATGTCATTTTAAATAGTCAGAGAAATTTCATAAGGAATTTGATAGAAATGAAAAATGTTTAGCTATGTTCACTAGGGAAATGATGAAACTGCTATTATTATCAATATTACTATTGTTATTATTATTATTATTATTATTGGTATCGTTGTTATAGTTGTTGTTGTTATCGTTGTCGGTATTATAATTATGATTAACTTATTATTCTTGCTATTGTGATTATCATTATGATTGCTCCTTTATTATTTATTATTTATTATTTACTATCCATTATTTATTTTTTATATAGGTAACTGATACACATAATATATATCTATGCTGATAAGTTCATTTTAATTTCATTCCAATTGTGTTTTCTTATTATTTCTTCATTTACATATACATTTGATTATAATAATTACAGCTATTTACAGAATACCTATATAATGAGCATAATAAGCTAAAGTGAACCGCGCGCGAGCTCTGCTCTTTGCGAATTTCTTCTGTTTATTTGTTTACTCATGTTAGGAATAAGATTTATATGTATAAATGTAATTTGTATTGCGAATGAACACATATTATTGCACCATTTTCCCCTTATGACTTGAAACCTGTGACTTAAAACCTACGACTTAGAACTTGAGACATTTAAACTGCTGCATAAATAAACCAATATCCCTCCCTATTAAAAAAAGTGTTTAAAAGTGTTTAAAAGTGTTTTTAACCGCCAGCTTAGTTGCAAAGCAACCCTCGAAAGTCCGAGACTTGTGTGAGTTAAGAAGACGGGGACCTTAGCTTTTTAAGTGTCATCCGAAGCACTACTCGGCTGGTAACCGTGGACAGTCCAAAGGATTGATATCTAGGTACCAATAATGTTGGGTTGGCCACCTATCTCCTCCCGCCCAACGAAACTACCGAAAATTAATTCAGTGCTCGCGCCGGGGATCGAACCCGGACCGCCTGGGCAACAGCCAGCGACTCTACGCTCACGGCCACCAGCCCAGTATTGTAATTAGGAATTATATATTTGGAGTTTAATTCAGAATCTAGGTGACAGAACAAAATATTATGATCTTTCCATCATTTTCAGGGACGGTTTCCATGCCTTTCTACACAGTTTACGTTCTGATGGGTTATTGGAACCTAGGCCCGCTGCTCTGCGATCTCTGGCTGTCTGTGGACTACACGGTCTGTCTGGTGTCCCAGTACACGGTCCTGCTGATCACCATCGACAGGTTCTGCTCGGTGAAGATAGCTGCGAAATACCGCAGCTGGAGGACGAAGCAAAGAGTCATCTGGATGGTGACGATAACTTGGATCATTCCAGCGCTGCTGTTTTTCATCAGCATTTTCGGGTGGGAGCACTTTACGGGATACAGGGACCTGCAGCCTGGAGAGTGTGCTGTGCAGTTTTTGAAGGAGCCGGTTTTCAATACAGCGCTCATTATCTGCTACTATTGGACCACTCTGATAGTTCTATTCATCCTCTATGGAGGTGAGTGTTTTCATCTGAAACAGCAACAAATCACTCATTACCCAAACTGATTTTTATATTTGATGCAATCCATGGTGGCTCTAGGCGCAGGCGCTATGAGCAGCATGATAACTAATGGAGGGAAAATATCAAAGTTTATTGTTAGAAAGAAGGGTATTATGTTGTCGTTGATCAAAATACCAACCATTCCAATTATCGGTAATAAATAAAATATATAACTGATGAGCGATTGTTAACCATATTTTCCCAATTTACGCACGAATATTTACACTGGAAAAAATAACTTGCAACGAGCACTGAAATTCAGTAGATCCAGCGAAGAAGTTCTGTTGCTATACAGACAGTAAAATATTTGGAGCACCCAACACGATAACTCACCACCACTAACTCAGTTTCATCCGAGGTTTTATCACTATCCCATCAGCAAGCCTTATGTGATGCTGAAGCATTTTTGACTGTGATATTCTGCTAAGAATCCTGATATTTCTTCTTTCTGAGATCACAACCAGAAATTTCTTGTTGATGATCGATATTTATATACAGGGTGATTCAGAAACTAAGTTTTTTTTACAGTTGCTCAGCAAGAATTGCTCACATAAAATATTTGAGATAACGGAGGTACAGGTATTTGAAGGTTCAAAGAAGACTCCAACTATAAAACATTTTGTTTACATTTTCTCAAAGAAATGCAGAGCATTATTTCATCAGAAAAGGTAATCAAAAGTCCCTTTTCACATTTTTAACCTATCAACTTCCGTTTCAAAGTGATTTATTCATAATATTTTCACTAATAGATTAGATTTCATTTCTACAAAACCTCAAAATGTCTGTACCTCCTTCATCTCACACATTTTTTACACAAAAAATTTTCGGCAAGATAAATACAAAAAGCTCAGTCACATCCACAAATTTTTCATAAATTGAACAACAATGGTAGATTTCGGGAAGAAAATAACTACTGTCCAGGATAATAACACGCAGAACATTGAATACCATCCTTCCGAAATCTATGCGTCGACTCGTATAAATAACGAATACTGGCATTAGTGAATCTTTCCTGAATGCCTATTGATTTTGATTTTGCCAGGATACGCTAGACACCTACAGACCAGTTTCAAGCTCTCTGACTCTCATCAGTGCAGGGAAGTCTCCAGCCAGCAGTCCCAAGACCGCCGACTGAGCGTATAGTCTTGCCTAACAAAAATCGAATCGGCATTATATTTCCCCAGAGGCGCCTTTCATAGACATTATGAAAGCAACGCCATCTGAGTAAAAACGAAGGGAAGAAACACTCCGAAACTGAAATTTCCATACGAGAGTGGCTATGGTTGCCCGACTGGCGATATTTCAACTACGAAATAGCCACAATACTCAAAGTGGAATGAAATGTTAAATAAATACTTAAAGCTCATCTATCTACCATTGTTGTTCAATTCATGAACATTGTGTGGATATGAATTCGAGCTTTATGTATTTATTTAACATTTCATTCAACATTGGATTACATCCTCCCGATATCTATGCAATGATTCGTGTAGACGAATAAAATCGCTAGTGTTTTCTTCCTGAACGCCGAGCTGCGCCTAAGTGGTTCAGGAACGCTGACTACCTGCAGACCGGTTTTGAGCTGTTGGCTCCCATTAGTACAGGGCTGTCCCAGATAGTTTCTGGACCGCTATCTGGTGCGAACCTGACCCAACGTAAACGCGTCTCAGCATTTATACACCACGAGCCGTTCAACGTCCGCGAAATGGAACGAGAACGCCAACGACACCGGGCAGCGATTTTCCTAAATATACTGCACGCTAGCACAAACCACGCCCACCATAACACGTCATATCTCATACTGTGCTCCAACGCAAGAACTGAAGCTTTCTCGTTGTCAATCTCTTGTACGCAGTAAATTCATACACCCAAATGGTCTACTGGTTAGCGTTGTCGACTCTCAGTCTGAAGGTTCATGGTTCGAATCGCTGTGAACTCGAACTTTTTTTTGCAACTTTTTTTTTTTCACCAATGTTCTTTTACTTCATTCTGGTTTTCCTTTTTCATAAAATATTTGAAGTCAAATAGGTTAGTGCGTTTAGGATAAACCGAGGATAAACAGTGTCATTTTATTCAATTTTGTTGAAGAACTCAACTTTTGAAATATTTTATTAATCAATGTGTTTCTACACTCCATTCGGTTTTCCTTCCTCAAAAATATTGCAATCAGAGATAGGTTAGTTCGTTGAGGATAAATAGTCTCTGAGTTTTGCCTAAGTAAAGTACTTTGAAGATGAGATATAACGTGGTATGTGCTACTTTTTCAATCGATTTATTTATATGAATCAGCTACGTTGTGCTGTCAAAGATTAGATTTTGCAGGAACGCACTAACCTATTTGACTTCAAATATTTTATGAAAAAAAAAAAACAGAATGAAGTAAAAAAACATTGGTGAAAAAAAAATTTTGCAAAAAAAAGTTCAAGTTCACAACGATGCGATCCATGGACCTTTAGACTGAGAGTCGACAGCGCTAACACTAGCGTCTAGCGCAAGGAGGTATTTGTATAAACACGTAGTGGGAGAACCGCGCAAGCGAGACGCGGACGCGGACAAACATCACCTATGCCTTCACCTATCGACATGCCCGACGAACGTTGGAGCGAAGGAATATATTATACAGTATGATGCAAATGTATGGAATAAATTCATTTCAAAACAAGACGACTTCCAAAAAAAATCCAAAAAGTAGAGTTCAGAACTTTTTTATCGATGTATTTTTTCAACTATATAGACGACCCTTCGATGTCCAATTCTCAGTAGAAGATCTCTGCAAGATTCAGTTAGCCAAATGATAATCCATTTTAATTTCAATCTTCTTTTGCAAAATTTTGACTATTGGATAGACGATCAGTAGACCTTTCAAACGAGGTGTCACATGACCCCTGTTTGTATTTAAAAAAACCGTCCATTACGTCTCATTACTCCAACACCGGTGACGTAACATCTCTCATATGAATGTCATGAGATGAGGTTTCAAAAATTAAAACTCACGTGTTTTTGGAATATCTTCAAATGTCGCCCATTTCTGAAATAATGAATTTATTCCATACATTTGCATCATACGTATATAGAACTTTACATTTTCTCCAGATACTCTCTGCGATGACCACGACGTCATTCTGACCATCTACCAATTTTGGATTTTCAAATGGAATAATACATTCTGTACATTATTCTATCACTGATTATGGGTTATATACCATTACGATACCACAAATCACGACCACAAATATAATACTGACAACTTACTTGCCATTATCACTAGTCTTATTATTAGTAATTAATTAAAGAAAAAATGTATTCAGATATTCAGTTTCTTTATTCATGATGTAAACTTAAATGCTTAAAGAATAATATTGTATTTTCTGTAGTAGTCCATGCTCAAAGTGGAGTGGAATGATCAATAGAGAAAAAATCCAAAGTCGTCTCCACAATTTTTAATGAATAATGAGGCAGTCAATCCTGCTTCATTAAGGTTGATACATGTTTCGGCCATTCAAATGTCCATCTTCAGTCAAAAGAATATAACAAAGTGTATCTACAATAGAAAACCAAACATGATTTTTTATATAAGAAAAATTGAAAATGAAAAAGACAACAGTTGTAAATTCAAATTGAATTGATTAACAATTTCGGTTAGATCAAAGAGCAACAGTGATTTTTTATGAGTATACAATGATAATTGATCAGTAATTGATAATAAAAGTGAAAAACAAAATTTTATCAAATCAAAATTCTAAAAAACAAAATGGAGAACCATAGATAGATCAATTACTGATCAATTATCATTGTATACTCATAAAAATCACTGTTGCTCTTTGATCTAACCGAAATTGTTAATCAATTCAATTTGAATTTACAAAACTGTTGTCTTTTCCATTTTCAATTTTTCTTATATAAAAAAATCATGTTTGGTTTTCTATTGTAGATACACTTTGTTATATTCTTTTGACTGAAGATGGCCATTTGAATGGCCGAAACATGTATCAACCTTAATGATGCAGGATTGACTGCCTGATTATACATTAAAAATTGTGGAGACGACTTTGGGTTTTTTCTCTATTGAATATTGTATTTTATGAATACCTATAATAGGTATAGGTATCCCAATTTTATTTTTTCATTTTATGGCCTCAATCTCCAAATCCTCATATCAGTATTCAAAGTGTTAGTTTTGTGTTATTAGACTTTTAATAACATGTGTTGTCAGCCGCGCGTCGCTATAGGTGATGGGCACAGTTGATGTTTACCCGCGTCCGCGTCTCGCTTGGCGCGGTTCTCCCACTACGTTGTTTATACTAATACCTCCTTGCGCTAGACGCTAGTAGCGCTAACCAGTAGACCATTTGGGTGTAAGAAATTACTGCGTACAAGAGATTGACAACGAGAGAGCTGCAGTCGAATTCGTGTCAAAATCATAAAAAGTGTATTCCTGCGTTGGAGCACAGTATATTTTAGTGCGATGTGCTGACTCCGAGTATATCGGTAATGTTTGGAGATATGACGTATTATGGTGGGCGTGGTTTGTGCTAGCGTGCAGTATATTTAGGAAAATCGCCACCAGGCAAGGAAAGAAACGCTCTGAAACAAGATCTCATTTCAGGCGAGATGGAAGTGGCTGGTTGCCCGACTGGCGTATTTTCAACTAGGGAAAATCGAAATACTCAAAGTGGAGTGCAATGGTTACAAATAAACAAACTCGAAGTAATCACCACAATATTTCATGAAATGGACGAAAATGGTGGATAACGAGAGAAAAACAACTACTTTCCTGGCTATATTCCATGCCAAAAAATTTGGATTACATCCTGAGATGCGTTTATGTTGGATCAGGTTCGCACCAGGAAGCGGTCGAGAAGCTATCTGTAACAGCCCTTTACTGATGAGAGCCAATAGCTCGGTGGTCACGGGTTCCTGAACCACTTAGACGCAGCTCGGCGATTAGGAAGGAAACACTTGCGATTTCATTCGTCTATACGAATTATTAGAGCAATTATGTGTTATAGCCGTAGAAGAACTGAATTGTCTAGAAACAGCAACAAATCACTCATTACCCAAACTGATTTTGCTATTTTTTTCGTGTGTTTTGTACCTACTATTTCCACGTTTCCAGGCATCTACAAAACGGCCTTCGACATGCAGAAAAAAAGCGAAGCGAAACAGCGCAAGATGCAATCCATGGTGGCCCTGAGCGCAGGCGCCATGAGCGGCATGGCCGGCCGAGCAGCGGGCTTCGGCCTCTCGAAGGCGGCGGAGAGCGCTACCGATCCGCCGCCGAAGATGCCCGACGCCGCGGTGGTGGACGAGCGTCGAACGCAGGCGCACGAGCATGCGCACGAACATGCGCAGACGCTGGCTGCGCCGTGCCAAGCGGACTCGAACTCGAGTGCCGGGTCCGGTAGCAATACTACCACGACCACCACTACCACTACGGCTAGCTGTGAGAAGAGGAACTTGGGCAAAAATAATGGTGAGTCTAGAGACTATGTAGTCGAAAATAAATTGACTTCATAAATATAGTGACCCCAGATAACACAGAAACGTCCTGAGAACGTCCTCAAGCCGTACACCACAAACATTGGGAACGTCCCCTGAACGTCCATTTTAGGTACGGCGTACGTTATCAGGGGGTCTTGGGGACATACGATGTTATACAACCAGAGGTCCCCAGGAAGTACGATCAGGGTCCGGTTTAGCTCTGAGTGGGATCATGAATACCTAAAACAACGTAGATCCGCCCTTTTCACTCAGATATTTGAAAATGAGATCTAGGCACGGTAAAAGAAATCTAATTTTGGATGAAAAAAAGAAAGGGAAGCGCTCCTACCGGGGATCGATCCCACGGCCTTCAGATCACCATGCTGTACCTACTCTACAGAACACTTGATGATATATCAGTATACAACAAGACATAATGTGCGAATGTAGATTGGCCCTTCACATCAATATTTGCATTGAATTAGAGGATCACGGCTAGTGGTGCCCGCGAGAGTCTCGTTTTCGAAAGTCTCGCATGGTCTTGTCTCGTTATCGAGACAAGACTCGAGACCAGACACGGACAAGACGAGACGAGACTTTCATTGTTCTCGTCTCGAGTCTCGTGCAAGAGTTCTCGTGTCTCGTGCGAGAGTCTCGCAGGTAAATATTTCTGCGTGCCGACTGCAGACTTGAAAATTTCACTCATAATATAACATATTTAGAAATAATTCAGACTATTTAGTACAAATCGACAAAACATGGCATTCATGTACTCCAAAGATTATTCTCACGTGCTACATTAACTATAAGAAAACATCGGAATCGCCTTTATAATGATCCAGTCTTAACGACTGGGTGAAAAACAAAAACATTTGCGATCGTGAAGGCTGAACTGATGAAGGTTTTTTCCTTAGATAGTTACCTATTTCTTAAATAAGTGAAATTATTTTGGATTAATGTTTTTGTTTTGTTTATTTGTTTAGAATATACGTGTTACTTTTTATCTTATTTTTATAACTTTCGAATATATAATGCTATGTTTTTTTCTTGTTTAGATGTATGATGTAAGTATGTACCTATTAGGTACTTACTTTTCAATAAATAATGTTATTTTTGTTGTAATTTTCTCTTTCTACTTCTACATTATACCTAAAAAGTAGGTAAAGGTAAATATCCCGTACCATACTGAAACAAGATTATGCATGACGAAATTGCGATACATTTGCGAGACTCTCGTACGAGACACGAGACAAGACGAGACTCGAGACAAGACTTCATATTTTATCGGCGAGACGAGACGAGACTTCATGAAAGTCTCGTCTCGTTTGGTCTCGTGTGATTCACTAATCACGGCAGAGATAACCTAAATCTAAATAGATGTTTCGTGATTAGATACGGCCAGTAAGAAATGAATTGTGAGAATTGTATTATGTTCATGTTTTCAAGGTTCCTAAATGAATAGATATCATCAGAGATCGAGGGTTGAAATTATATGCAATGATTTCAATTATCATTATACAATTTATTCAATTTCGTCCACTAAAAGTCGATAACGTCCTGAGTTGGACGTACCCAGTACATCGGAATCGTACGCATCCAGTACGTCCAGAAATGGACGTTTTCAGTACGTTTTGAAAAGGTCCCGGACGTTCAGACCTAAATTGGGCCTGAACTGGACGTCCCCAAGACGCCGAGTGCTGTATGGGACGTCAATACTGATACACTTTCTGATTGGTCAGACCTCTAATATGTTGGTGCATTCACCTCTTTTGTTTTCTCCATCCAGATCTACGCATTCTTTTCCGTCACTCTATATAATCTACTTACTCTAGTTGGAAATAGATACTGATTTTTCTTCATTTCCTTTGATCCTCCTTTGCGAAGATAGCACATTCTGAGGATCTCGGTTGAACCGTTGCCAAATCGAAAATTCAACAAAATCATTCGAACGGAATATTGCATAATTCAATAGATTATGGTGAATTGTTGACTAGTTAGTTATATTATACAAGGTGAGTCAGAATGAGATCGAACAACTTCGTATACGGATTTCTAACCTTCTTTATAGGTGAAAAGCTCCTATCAATGTCTGCCCTGAGATGGAGGTTGTTAAAAGTATTCGTGTAAAGTATTCATGAAATCCTCATGAAATCCCTTGAAATATTGAGTAATCACGAGGTTAGCATGGAATCAGTGGGTCAGGTTCACCATCGGTGGTCACCTACTCGATCGTCAATGAAAGTCGTTGGAAGAGATTAGATCAGATCGTGAAAGATTCTTTTTGCAGCAGGTCTCTGCCCGCCAAAGACTAAGAAACTAACGCCAGAGTTGGAGAGGGCGGAAAGGTCAAGCAGTCCGGCTTTCGAATCGGATGAAGATAGCACCGCTCCGGTGCAGGAAAACAAGAAACCGCAGGACAAATCCCAGAACTCGATAGCTGCGAACAAGAGAACGTCGATAGTTGGGATAGTGATGCAATCGAGTGCCCCGTTGCAGGTCTTCAACGCCAAGGTCAACGGGGATGCTGTGACGACTAGAGATCATATACCAGTAACTACTGTGAGTAGAAAGATCTTCTTACAGGCATTATATCTGGATAGGTAGCTGACAAAGCTGACTTCATTCAGGGATCTCAAGTAGTATGAAAGTTAACCCAGATGAACCTAAGAATATATTGTTACAAATTTTTATTTTTGTTGTGTTAAACTAGTTCAACATTCAAAAATGAGTCACAGAAAAATCTTGAGAAAAAATCTAGAAGCTGCAGTTTCCAACAAGACGTTGTCTTTTCAGAAGGACAGTTGGCAAATGAGTGACATTGTCTAGAACGGACCATTCATTATATCAATATTCCAAATATGATAGGCACAACAGGATATGAGAACCAAATCAAATGAAGTATATGTATGAACATAGTATCTGACATCATAGGCTGTTGAGTTTTGGTACACAAAATACTATATGCGCAAAACATACAGGTAGCATTGTTATAGCAAAAACGCAGAGAACAGAAACTTCTATGTATCTTAAGTTGACGTCTAATCTCTGCCGGTCAATCAGTTGGTCACTATCGCTCAGAGTGTACAATTCGTCTAATTTTGGTGTTTAATAACTTTTTGCTAGTTTGCTCAGCTTCTTGCCTCAATTGTTACATAGCTGAAATCTAGATAATAGTTCATGTTGTGACAGTGTGGAACCCTGTAGTTGCGGTGCAGAAGTGCAATTACCCGGCGTCAGTCCAGTCCAGAGCTAGTTCGAGAAGTCCGCCGTACCGCAGTGCAACACTGAACCTACAGATTACGTACGTTTCTGTTTCTGCTCGATATAATTATATGATGAGTGCTACCATTAGTTTTTACTTCAACTATTTCTACCAATGCCGGTCTAGTCCACAAAATCCAACCACGAGGTCTATTTGAAAAGTTTCTCATTTTCCTTTAACTCTTCTTCGATTTTTGGAAACCCAAACCATAGGCCTTGATGCAAGAGAGCAATGTTTCATTTTTTGCATTTGGTGGGAACGTTTTTATGGCAATGTCGGTACCCAGGGCGCTTCTCCTGATGCGTCACTATCAGGTGATCCATACGATCGTAACGGAACTCTGCATTTTCTAATGGAGATGGTTCTGAACGTTTGAAAAATTGTCTCTGGTTGCCTTCCAATTGTAATGGCTACTCTTCTGCGAGAAAATAAATTATCAAGGGATCCGTTTTGCATCCTATGTTATTGCCATACACCGTTTTCACACATATCTAACCTGTGGAATATAAGAGGCATTCACCATTTCTTATCACGTAGTGCAACTCGATACGAATTCATATTTTGGTCGGCTCGATCAACGCCTCCCATGTTTCTGGGAGGCGTTGATCGAGAAATATAATAAGAGGTTTCCCAACGGTACTTTTGTCGAATGTGAAAACTTCACAAACGATAAGATTTCCACAAAATTCTCAGACACACGACATGTTTCGCTAACACAGTAGCTTCGTCAGGTGATATACTGGTTCACTGTACCAGGTCTTATTTTGAAGAGTATTCATAAACGTAGCAGTGTTCTACATTGTGGAAGTTTTTTGAAACAATAAAGGAAAGATGCGATTTTAACACCCTATATATAGCTCGAAGTTAAGAGGTATAGGGCCTATGTTCATATGAACTTGTCCTCACGAAAGAAGCTAAAGAACCATATCCTGAATTTTCAGCAATCGATGAAATTATACCCTGTTTAATTGATTCGCGATTGAAATCATTTTGAATTATAATTATACTCATGTATTTCAAATGTTCATTTGTCAGTTCATCCAGGTAGCCAGAAGAATAATTGTTTTTGTAAAAATCACAGTAAAACGGCAAACATCATGAACCAAAATATAACAACTGGAGCTAACAAAATCGCTGACAACCTTGAAACATATTTCCAAGGGCCACGGATAGCAGAACGACATGTGCACCATCCATATCCTCAAGTGCAAACTTCTTGTGAATTCTGGAGCAGGTCACTGATAATTCTTCACTTGGATCCATAATAACCTGATTAGTGCAGTGATTTTCCAATGGTAACATAAACTGCCATCTCCTTACTGATTCTGCGCCTGTTTAATATGTTGGACATGACGATTGAAGATTTCCTCAGATAATCACAAGTTTTCTCTGATTAAAATAGCTTGGACGAATTATGGTCCAACTCATTTGCAGCATGATTAAATGTCCAAAGAAGCGATGAGAAGAGATGAAAATTGCAGAATTGGTGAAAGAATAGTTATTCATTCTGCAAGGAAAAAAAGTAGTAGATTTTAGCTCCAGGTTGTGAGAGCTTCAATCTTATATTTTTCCCGTGTATAATACACTACTTTTTTCCATGACAGGAAAAAAAGGGACGGATCAATTGGAATCAGAAAATTATCGACGAGAAATTTGAAGTTTTTAACAGAAATGACACCTGCGTTGCAGGCATCTTCATCATTCTTTTGAAGCAATCAAATATCTGTCAGTCAAATTCTGTGATTTGATTTTCAGAAATTGCGAATTTAGTGGTTGCTAAGTACCTATAATGCAAGTAACCGCGAAGTCGAATGGAAGGTAAAAGAACTTACAGTTCTTCCTCGGAGACGGTGATATTGGTTTATTTTTCAGAACTAAAGCACAACAATAGTCATCAACAGTGTATAAATATGTGATAAATATCCGTGATTTTCCGTGGGAAAAAAGGAATTTTCGGAAAGTGACATCTTGTAACCTGTCAACAGAGATGAAATTTTGAACTTTTTTCCCGTCAGAGAAAAACTGAATCATTGTATCCTGCAACAAAACAGGTTCTGTTAATTCGGCATGCTAAATCATCATGCTCATCAACGTGTTAGATTGAGAGGATATTCAGTAGGTACCTTCGGAAGAGTTATCTAGAAGGAGAAGATATATGAAGAAGAAATATTGAATATATCCTGTCAAGCCACTTGCGAGCTCATTTTGAATTGATAATTTCGTAGTTATTAGTGTGTGTTATGATCTTTTGCTCTACGCAGATTCATTTTCATTATACTCGGCATGTGGGTACGTTTGACGTAGAAACAGAATTTGTTTTCATATTTGAAGAAATACTCTGCTCACCCTTCCCAAAACCAAATTCTATCGTAGGAGTAACACTGTTGATTTGAAGCCAACAACAAGCATCAAGAACTAAAAATCTCTGTCAGGACTGGGTATAGAACCTGGTACCTCATGAACGATTCCCCAAGTTGATATCAGTCATTTTAATCCTGCTCTGGGTCTGAAATATATGTTGCTTATTCAAAGAGCTCCTAATATTGAATATAATATTACAAGAAAATTGTTTTCTCCTGGGACATCGCGTACATTAGAATATATGGTCTGAATTCATTTTACTGAATGCAATTGCACCAACTTATCGATATAAGAACGCGACGCTCACGTCGTAGGATTCACATAAAATCCAAACGTGCAGGTCTGGGACTATTATTCTCAATATTCTATCATCACTGTCATGGATACTGGATACAGTGAGATACAGTGAGATGAGGAAACATATTTTGACAGTGATAGTATATTGTTTGACGAGTGACGAGAACTTCAAGAAATGTTCTCGACTTGTGAAACTATATATTTCGTCCGTGCCAGGGAAAAAGTTTGACATTTTATCTTTGTTGAAATATGAAGTTAATCAAATCGATTGGAGCGCCTCGAGTTACACGTGCACTCACTTCAAAAGGAACTTCTAACTCGCCGACGCCGCGTGGTGCAGGATATGCTCCAATAGACTTTGGATAGACTATAACAAAAAACAATATTTGCGACCGGTTGACTATAGTAAAATATTATTATAAGTTCATGGACATGACTTCGAGCTTTTTCCTCTTTGTTATCAATTCTTTCCACTTCGAGTAGTGGAAGCTGATGAAACTGACTGACAGAAGACTTGAATGAAGAAGAACGAAAAAAACATTCATTCAATTTTGAACAAGAAATTGCTGATTGGCTCTTTCTGATGAAGATATATGTTCTCAACTAGCAACCAAAAATAGGCGACAGAAAATATGTTATACAGGCTGATTCACGGTGGATGGCACATTAGACGTTTCTGGTGAACCAGACAACGGATCATTTCGAAAATCCAATGGAGGGCATATTCGGACATTCTCTAGCCAACTAAAATATTTTCGACAATGCGGTGTTGCCGCTTCTATTAGAAAGCAGTAGCAACTTTGATTTTTCAAATGGAACACTCTGTATTTTATTGCATTTTTAGATTCTCCCTGAAGAGCTGATTTCATCGATGTATCACACTTGGGGTCTAGCGGAAATGATTATAGAGATATAGGGTGTGAAAAATCGACATTTTTCAACTTTAGGAATTTTTTTTGTCGAAACTATTCATTATTGGTCAAAACGGCTCACATGTCCCTATCTCAACTTTTGATTAACTATCTACTGATATTTAATTGGGACATATACCGGGTGATCAAGATTCTGAATTCTGCACCACCCTGTATTTGTTTCAATTAAATTTTAGTAGATAGTTGATCAAAAGTTGAGATAGGGACATGCGAGCCGTTTTGACCAATAATGAATAGTTTCGACAAAAAAAATTCCTAAAGTTGAAAAATGTCGATTTTTCACACCCTATATCTCTGTAATCATTTCCGCTAGACCCCAAGTATGATACATAGATGAAATCTGTTCTTCAGGGAGAATCTAAAAATGCAGTAAAATACAGAGTGTTCCATTTGAAAAATCAAAGTTGCTACTGGTTTCTAATAGAAGCGGCAACACCGCATTGTCGAACATATTTTAGTTGGCTAGAGAATGTTCGAATATGCCCTCCATTGAATTTTCAAAATGATCCGTTGTCTGGTTCACCAGAAACGTCTAATGTGCCATCGACCGTGAATCAGCCTGTATACCAATATGCAACAGCACATCCAACACTCTCCTTTCAGCTAATGATTCAGAAAAATAAACATCAGGTGTGAAATCTCAAACTGTTGAGAAAATATTGTTCCTTCATCATTTGAGAGGTTTTCACGATGATGAAAGTTTGTTGTGGTATGTTCATGACGATTCATTGTTTCTTGTTTTCAAATATTCAGTAAACAATAACTCACAAAAAAATTCCATGAATATGTTGAAATTGTACAAATACCACCTTCAGGTCTCAGGAGGGTATACCAAACCACCAGAATTCGAACAGTTATCTATTATTTGTTCCAGTAGAATTTGAATATTATTCGAATCATTCATGACTGGATATTTGTGGATCGATTATCCTTTTCCCTTACACACACACGCACACAGTAACGTTGATTAATTGATGAGAACGTTTCGTCATGGAAAAATAATGTTATATTTTATCATTATAGAACAAACCAGTAACAGAGAAGCCAACCCTACTGAAGATACCAGAGAAGGCACTTGCAGATCCATCGAAACCCGCCAGCACGGTAGGTGGTAACTACCCTCGCCAAGACCCGCCCGCCATTGTAAATAGTAAAAGTTGTGATAGTACCCTCCAACCCCCTGTAGATAGCGCCACCAAAAAACCCGCCAGCTTGAAACTCAAAACCACCCAATCGACCTACGACCTCCTGCTAGGCCTTGACGGGGCAGACTTGCGATTCATGGACGAAAGTTCAGTAGTTATCCCCTCCCCCACCTTAGAGCACAGTGCGCATAACTCCCCGAATATGACACAGGGCGAGCAGAAGCGGCTGCACACGGAGGTGACGATCTGCTCCAATCGCCCGATAACTTCCATCATCAGCGAACCGGATAGAGGCGGAGGGGATATGCTGGAGGCTAGCAGTCCTGGAGGAGGTATATCTGCCATCAGCCAGACAGGTAACAGTGCCCCCTATCCCGCTAATGCCGCTTGTAGCAACAATAAAAAGAGATTTTGTGTGGCAGATTCCGTGGACAATCCGAAGCGGGTGTTCGTCAAGTCGATTGGGAAAAAGTTGAAGGCTAAGAAGAAGACGATTGGGCCTCTCGGTTTCGGTAGCAGACAGAAGTCGAAATCGGAGAACAGAGCGAGGAAGGCTTTGAGGACTATTTCCTTTATCCTAGGAGCTTTCGTAGTGTGTTGGACGCCGTACCACATATTCGCGCTGGTAGAGGGGTTCTGCACTGAACCGCCGTGTATCAACGGTCATATATATATGTTTTCCTACTTTTTATGCTACGCTAATAGTCCTCTGAATCCTTTTTGTTATGCTTTGGCCAATCAGCAGTTCAAGAAAACTTTCACTAGGATTTTAAAGGGAGACCTTCACATGACTTAGGCGGTTGCTTCGCGAAATATATTTCTTCCCCCAAATATTTTTGGGATTAGATTTCAAGTGGGTGCTGGGACACTTCAGCAGAACGACACATTCCTAATCTAGTGATCCTTATTGCCCAGACCAATATATCTATTCATATCTATTAGTAGAGGAGAGGACTAGACGATTATCTGAGGAAAAAATCATCGATTCTTTTAGGTTTACAGTCAAAGTGAAACAGAGTGTAGGTATAGTCTTGTTACTGTTTAAGCTATCGACTCAATATTGGCTCTTCATTTGTAACTCTATAGAACATTGAAATTATCTAAAAGCAATCTCCTGATCTATCATGTATATACAGGGTGATCCACGGTGAATGGCCTATTGAAAGTATCTGGAGAACGAAAAGACCGACTATTCTAAAAATTGGAATGCTATGATAATTGAACATCTGTCTAAAATATTTTCATCGATACAGTGTTACCACTACTATAAGAAACAACTAGCAACTTCGTTATTTCAAATGGAGCACCCTGTATTTTATTGCATTCATAGATTCTTCCTGAGGAGCTGATTTCAGCAATGCATCACACTTGGGGGCTAGCTGGGATGATTACAGAGATGTAGGGTGTTCAAAATCGAGATTTTTCAATCTTTGGTGTTTTGTCGAAACTATTCATTATCGATAAAAACGGCTCACATGTCCCTATCTCAACTTTCGATTCACTATCCACTGACATTTAATTTGAACAGATACAGTGTGATCAGGATTCTGAATCTTGAAGCACCCTGTATTTTTTCCAATTAAATTCCAGTAGATAATGAATCAGAAGTTGAGATAGGGACATAATAATATGCCGTTTTGATCGATAATGAATAGTTTCGACACAAAAAAAATTGTAAATTTGAAAAATCTCGATTTTGAACACCCAACATAGATAGATAGGCTCAGTAATCATTCCTGCTAGACCCAAAGTGTGATTCATTGATGAAATCAGCTCTTCAGAAAAAATCTGAAAATGCAATAAATTGAAATAACAAAGTCAAAGTTGCTAGTTGTTTCTGATAGAAGTGGCAACACTGTATCGATAAAAATATTTTAGACGGATAGAGAATGTTCAATTATCGAAGCATCCCAGTTATCAGAATGTTCTGTCTTTTCGTTCTTCAGATACTTCTAATAGGCCATCCCCCGTGAATCAGCCTGTATATATTATCTGAAAGCAATCTTCTGATGTATTCATCTAACAACAGTCATGGAAGTTGAGATTTTGTTGAAGCTTGAAGCTCGCTACCGTTACGGAATACATGTGTGAAAGATCATTCACTACATGAAGACATTGAAATTCTTGACGATTATTTGAAAATAATCACATTATACTTGAATTTTTTTTTAAACTTGCAAAGCATCATTGCTCAACAAGTATCACAACAACACATAGGTACCGCGTTGAACAGTAACACGGTACCTGTATGAACAAACCTAAATTTCATCTGTCAATTCATTAAGAATCGGTAATTCAACTTTCCAGTTATGATTCACTTGAAATTCATAAAGTTGGAGATACCACCATCTTCGGGAATTCAAATAGCCGCTTCTTCATAACTGTTCTATGAACTGACAGATGACACATCACATGAAATTGTGGTTCGTTATATTCATACATCAGGTATCATGTCACTGTTCAGGGTGGTGTGCGTTGTTGATTGTTGAAAACTGTGACACTTGTTGAGCAATGATATGCTTTGCAATTCTCCTCGTTATGTAACAATTTTCAAGTAATCGTCAAAAGTATCGATATTTTCATGTTGGAAATATTTGTTTCCACATGTTTCATTCCTCGCTAAACGGTAATGAGCTTCACCAACATTTCAGTAAAAGTTTTACAGAGTTGCTGATGAAGAGCAAATGGAGACGCGAAAACTCAAACAGAAACAGGAATACCAACACTTTGTTATACTCAGACTGAAAACCTGAAGATACCAATAATTTCTTCTGCGCATATCTGTAGGTTACAAACCAGTTGCCCTAGTACCTACTTGTTAGTAGAACTTTTGCATTGGTCTTATGATTCATGATAAAAGTCATATTAGTTTTTCATCTATAAATCAATGCAAAATATAATTAGTACCTACTGTATCAATTGATTTTTGAAAACGGCGATAAATCGTATCAAGAAAATCAATAATGATTTTAATAATATTAAGGGGACAATAAGTAATAGATAATTCCGAATTAGATCTATCCAAAATGATAGAATTTCAAATTGGTACCTACTCACGATGAATTTAAATTTACATGAGATATATGTATATTTGTATTGTATAGTAAAATAAGCCGGCAAACAATGTTAGATGTCCAAAAGTGAGGTTAGCTTGCTGTGCCGAGCCCTAACAGCTAGCTAACGTTAACTTTCGTTGAGGGATAATAAAAATGTTTTTACAACTTCTGTTGTTTTATTATATGTTATCTATTCACATTCAAGTATGCCTCTTCCTACATTAAGAAATGAGAAGAAAATATGGTTAGTTGGTGATTATGAAGGCATAAAAGGGTCAACAATTTCATTGTTATCAAAACATTTGGAATCGCCGCACTTCTGCGCGGCAATTGTCACTTCGACTGACAATAATTATCATAAAAAATGTTCGTAGGTGAAGGGAAGTGCGTTTTCTAATGTTCTGATGGATGGACTTTTTTGTCGTCACAAAAATCGAATTATTCTCAACATATTGATGGGTAATAACAGTAATTTGTTCATTCTGTGGAACAAATAATTATTCCGAATTGACTCATATTTTTTATGATGAAAAGAACATTTCACATCCACGATTCACCTATACCTACAGATAGTAGTTAGTTGTTCTTGATGGATTGTCGATATTCGCTTATTTTTGTTTTTTAGTCCTTTTAGGTATTCGAGCCACTTTGTTTAGAGAAAGTGCTGTTCATATCAAATATGATAAAGGTACTTGAATACTATTCAAAAAAATCTTCGATATCTGAAAATTTCCTGACAATCGGTATAATAGATATATACGAGACGAGTATCGTAAAGACTAATATCACGATATGAGATGGGAAATTTGTCAAACGAGGCTCGTCGATTATTGTAATATGAGTTTACGATACAAATATAGTACGATATTTCACCTACTATCGAAAAGCTGATCATTTGAACAAAATTATTGAATATTCCTTGAAATGACGATTCATTAGAAATATGTAACAAGCAAACGTTGCAAGAGTTGGGCGTATGGTTGTCGTGAATCTATTGTGTTCTCGGTTGTCACTCATTCTGCGAACTGACAACTTTGACGATTTAATTTCAATTCAAAAAAGAATTCATCGGTATAAATTTGGATCCGAAAAGTTTAGATTCCGATATAGAAATTGCGGCGAATGCGGCAATTGAAACTAAGTACCTGCTAAATCCCGGAATAGGTACGAAAATAAATTTTTATATCCATGATGGATTGGTTCTCATTCTTTTTTTTTTTGAGTGAAAATATAATATGAAATTGTATATTTTTTTCACTTTTCCGCACTATACTAAAATCAGTGTCGTAATGTTTCACATTATATATTGGTACCTAGTAGGTAAATGAATTTTGCAGGAGAATTTCCATAGTTCTATTTTTTATGTTCACTGCTTTCCTGAGTTGCAGTATCCCATCTGAAGAAAACAAACAAGGGTTAATCCAGCATTGATTAAATTGACTGGAATGGTAATCTACGTACCAAGTACGAAAACTGTCAATTGTCCCAACGTTAATTCGTTTTCCTTCATCTAGTTCGTAGTGATGACTTAATCGAAACACACTCACCAGCATGATGAAAAATTAATGAAAAAAATTAAAAATCAACTACTGATACCTGAAATAAACTGGTCGACATTGATAACGTCGTGCTCCTAAATATAACCTGAATTCAAAGTAGATTGACTCACGAATTTCCTCACCAATTTGAAATCGGTTTTCACCGATGATTAGCCTATATTCTCTTGACAGTTTGTTGTAGCAATATGAAACTCCTGTAATTTCAGATAACATTGCTACAGGGTGATAATTGAATGGGTGTAAAATTGCATCGTGGTCGTCACCTTACCGTTTTTAATTTTTTTTCTCACCTATATCCTCTTGATTGATGTCTCCTTTCGAAACGTTTTCGAAATTTTCAAATCCAGAGCTTTTATAATCGTGTTATGAATATTAATTCAGTATGGTGCATTTTTTTTACCATTAACTGAATGAAATTGAAAGTTGGAATTCTACTCCGAAGAATCAAAGTTGTATGTATAGTCGTCGGATATGTGATCGGGTTCGAACTCATAAAATTCTGAAAAAGTCTATACTGAATGATACAAGAAATACTGAATGATGGAATGGAGAATGATACGTAGTCTTTAGTAGATGAAACATAATTTTCTCTGTGTTACTAGTGAAATAATGGAGTGTTACTTCGTCATGAGGATGTCTGTGGTCTGACCTCGAAATGGTTTTGTAATTCCTTGGATCGAAGGTCATATAATAAAAGTACGCATTTTCAATCAAAATGATACATTTTCGTGAAGATGAATTATAAAATTCAAAAACTCACGATTGTAGTTCCAGAAGTATGAAATTCATATTTATTCTTGACGATGGATATACAAGTTGCGATAAAAAATATGTACAGATTGTCCTGGAATGAAGAAAAATATGTTTGAACGTGATGAAAATCACTATGTTCCGAAAAAGGAATATAATGTCGGTCATCGTCGAAAATTGTGAAATGAATAAATATAGTAACTTTTCATGAGGTTTATACAAGGCAATATGAAAGAGACTGCAGAATTGCCACAGATTTGATTGAATGTTTCCATACTGAAGATGAATACAGAAAGTCCACATGAGGCTTATATGAGGTAATATGAAAGAGACCTCAAAATTGCCATATATTCGTGCATACTTGTTACAATAATTGCATCTTACACTGATCTAGCACCTACAACATGGTCTTCCGAAGGAAACTTTCCTCATTGTCACTCAGTGTGAAGTTGAATGGAGATAGAATAACTCTTGAATGCTCATTTCTGCATCATCTTTTCCACAGGGTGATTCATAAGGAATTCATAATATCTCACATGATGCTATAGATTTGACGAATTCCGTTGATGAAAATATAGATTGCCTAACTTATACTCACATTTATTGCTATTATGTTTTCTCACGTCAAAAAAATCCTAATTGCATATTGGATTGACGTTCATTTCAATATGTGAAGTCTTGTTCATATTACCTCGTATAAGCCTCATGAAAAGGTACTGTATTTATACATTTCACAAATATCGACAATAACCGACACTATTTATATCTTTTTCGGGATATAGCGATTTTCATCACGGTTAAACATATCCTTGAATTTCATACTTCTGGAACTACAATCGTGATTTTTTTAATTTTATAATTCATCTTAACAGAAATGCATCATTTCGATTAAAAATACGTACATTCATTATATAACCTTCGATCCAAGAAATTACAAAACCATTTCGAGGTCAGACACCAGACATCCTCCTATTCTACTAGTAACACAGAGAAAATATGTTTCATCTACTGAAGACTACGTTATATTCTCCATTCCATCATCCAGTATTTCTTGTATCACTTTGTATAGACTTTTTCAGAGTTTTCTGTGTTCGAACCCGATCACATATCCGACGACTTCACACGAAAAAATGCATAATTCTGAATGAATATTCATAACACGATTATAAAAGCTCTGAATTTGGAAATTCTGGAAACTTTTCGAGATAGAGCATCAATCAAGAGGATACAGGTGAAAAAAAAATTAAAAAATTATCTGTTCAAACGGTAAGGTGACGACCACGATGCAATTTTACACCCATTCAATTATCACCCTGTAGCAATGTTATCTGAAATCACAGAAGTTCCATATTGCCACAACAAACTGTCAAGAGATCAGGCTAATCATCGGTGAAAATCGATTTCAAATTGGTGAGGAAATTCGTGAGTTATTCTACTTTGAATTCAGGCTTTATTTTGGAGCACGACGTTGTCAATGTTGACCAGGTTATACAATTTCAAGAACAGTTCGAACTGACTAAAGATTGAGAAAAGAAGTAATATTTTGCACGATTGTAGGAAATGGTTATTCATGTTCACAGGGCGAGAAATGGTCCAGTATAGTCGGGTCTGCAAATGAATAGCCGAAGTCCAGCCGCAGCTAGCAATCAGGCGAGACAATCGACAGTTTTTCGCTGAGGTGCATACCGAATTTTTTCGTCGACCTCGAACACTTATATTCACACCACGTCACGATCGGATTTCATAAGTAAATAGTTAGACAACACTAAATTATAGTTCTGTTGTCAACTCAATCGCTGCTCTTGAACCATGCCGAAACATCCATATTGTCAGTTCACAGTGACAATTTAATTCATGTTAGAAAAATCCCACAAGCCACGTGATTTCGTCATTATGACAGCGAATTAAAGTTTGCCCTATCTTTTCCAGCAACCGAATTACACTCTAGCTTTTTTGTTTTCAGTCGAAGTGAACTTGACATTTATAATTCGAATTTTGTTGCCATTAGGTAATTCAACACAGCAAACTGCCAGAAAAAATGTCTCGTCCTACGGAGGCATTTTTCTTTCGTCAAATTGCCAGGCAACAAAATTCTTTTTCTACAAACGTCAAAAAATGACAAGGTTCGCGCATTGATAACAAATTGCGAAGTGACACTTTTTTCAGTTTCCTACGTTACCGTGATACCTTGCACAAAACAATGCGCGAAGTACCTACTTCGCGCATTGTTATGTAAAATAAATTAGATATTTATATTTCAACTTCATGGTACTCAATCGAACAAACATCCACGAAATCATTTATTTCTGAATGTTCAACAATAACTTTGTTTTATCTCTTGAAGCGCACGAAAGGAAATTTCTATTATGTTCGTGGAACATCGTGCGTACCTAGGGAGGATTGGGGGAGGTCTTTCAAGCCAATTCAACACTATTTGTTATACCAAGCTGAGCATATTTTCTCTTTAGAACTATATTTTTGACGTTTGTAGAAAATATGTTGTTTGCAACTCGAGTGCGAAATACTTTGGTCATCTCGACTGTTTTTGTAACTCGGCTACGCCTCGTTAAAGAAATCAGATCTCGATCACCAAAGTAGGATTTCGCGCTCTAGATACAAAAATAACTATTTTGATACATGTCAAGTTGACTTCGACAAAAAAAAGCTCTCGTGTGATTATAAGTGACAATTACTTGTCCAAATTGGTATTGGCAGTCAAAGTGGCAACGGTCAGTTCAAATAAGTTACGATGGTCACTAGAATTCCTAATGTTTTGAAAAAAATCAAGCTGTTGGCCCTTGTACGCCTCCTTAGGTGTCAGATATTTGTTTGCAAAACATTCAATATCAACTAATCGAAATAATTCCAATACGCTATGAGATTTCTTCAATGGACTCCAATGGGCGCCATTTTTGGATACAGCATTTCGTTCAGACACTGCTTTCTGATTTCCGGAAGAGGAGCACCATGGCCTGGTCTGCCCCAGAATCCATTCCAAGTCGAAAAATGTTTTCGGATACTCGCCAGTTCCTTTACTTGCATTTCCTGAAAATTTGAAAAGTCACGGTATTTTTGATGACACTTGTCATCCCAATTCTAATGAATATCTCTTATTTTATTTACGGATCCAGATTTTCGACAAAAATATCTCAAGTATTCCTTGATATACATTGAGATATTCAGTTAAGGTCGATTTATGCACACCGCTTTTTCAAATCTGTTTCTTTCATCACCTGTCATTAGGTTTATTTCTATTCAAGGAATTTCCTACATTTATGCACCATCACTTTTCAATTTTGAACTCTTCTTTTCGGTCGAAACATAGTCCTCAGAGTACATAGCCCGATGAAAATATTTGTGTTATAACATTCAGTGATCACATAATTACAATGAGGATCGTTCATCTATAATGTTTTCAAGGTCTAATTCTCAGAATACTCAACCACATTTGGAAGAATTTGTTTTTCAGCGAAGATGAAATTCAATTCAGGTGCATGAATTAATGAACGGGAATACCAAGTGTTAACTTATCAGTGGAATAGTTGATGATTGTAAAATTACTGATTGATGGAAAAACGATCTGCATAAATCCGCCTTCAGACATAAAAAATTCATCGAATTAAAATGTATTTTTTCCAATTATGTCATCACATTGGTGATCTACTGAAATAATATTAATGAAACGTTATCTAGTTGACTGGAATCGAACATGAATGAATAGATGATGACGTTCTACCTCAACTTTTTGCCTCTTCCGAATCATCTGCTCTGCCAAATCCGTCAAATATACCGGTCCCTGTTTGTCCCAAACTGTGATGCCGCTGAAAAAGTGAAATATATTCGAATAATTGCCTACTACCTGATCAGCAAACACTCGCTAAGCAAAACCTTGCTCCACCAACTTTGAACAATTGAAATTTGACATTTTGAATTCTCTGAAATCATGAAATATTCACCAGTATGTCTCGAGATCATCTGCATCTCTTCACTGAATTATCCTTCGTTTCATTTTATAAGGACAAAGAATAATCTGACTATAAGGAGTTGAGGGCCAGTTACATAGAGAATTCGACAGAAGACTGAATAATTTAGTTGTGTATATCCATGGCATCGTAGGTCTTAGCTGATGATTTGGGAGAGTTCATTCCTCGATCGTTTTGTTGAAAGCAAAATTCTACAACCTGCCCTAAGAATTCCATAGGAATAACTCTGAAAACAGGCGGTAGAGGAAATGTGCCGAGTTGGCATACCCGACGAGTTGGCATATTGGTACTTTCTCGACTTCTATATAGAATCTTTTCGGCGCAATTAAACCTTCTCCTTCTGTTTACTTTTCGTGTACAAACTACAAACTTGCAAATGTGTTTGTGGCTACCTCCGATCATAAACAGAAACGTTAATGATGATATTTTTTTTGAAGCTAAGAAATGTTCAATTAACTCTCATAACTTGCTGCAAAACATGATTATTCAATATTTTTTCAAATTTCAACAAATGTGAATCAATTTTGTGAACCTAACCTTGGAAATCTACGACGCGTCTGAACTGCCATCCTTGAAAAACTTTTTTTTTTACGAATATTTGCCTAATTTACAGGTGCGACTGTAAATTAGTGCTAATTTACAGTTGCAACTGTAAATTAGGCAGAAGAAACTTTTTTTTTCTAAATATCGCCTAATTTACAGTTGCAACTGTAAATTAGGCAGAGAAAACTTTATTTTTCGAAACACCTCCTAATTTACAGTTGCAACTGTAAATTAGGAGATATTTTGAAGAAAAAGTTTCTTCTGCCTAATTTACAGAACTTTTTTGTTTCTACACATCTCCTAATTTACAGTCGCAACTGTAAATTAGAGTCTCACAGTCTCAGTGCTCACAATTTCTCACCAGACTAACAGACATAGGCAGCGCAGCTTCAATTTTTCGATAGCACGCGATGGCGATGCGCTTTTAGAACAAGAAGTAACACTTTATTGCAGCTCAAACAGTCAGAAAGGAGTAGGAGTAAAAATAATTACGAAATGTATGCCAACTCGGGCATATTTCCTTTATGTGTTAGTAGAACATGGTAGAACGTTCTGTTCAGAATACTCAAGCACAACGTTTCATTGATGCCATTCATAGCCTGATGGCCATTAATTGCAGATTCAGTACGACGTTTTTTTGATGTATGCATGTCATGATTTTTATGGGTTTTCAACAGGTCCTAGAAATTGAATTATGCCCACATGCAGCAACGTCACCAATCGAATTTGCATTGAAAATTGATGAAAGGGCAGGAAGAAAATCTTACAGTCAACTGAGTCAACTATACCAAAACTATACTTTTCAACATTGGAATTGGGACATGTTTCGAAGCTTCAAAGTTTCATCACCAGCAAAAATTATTTATTACAGGAAGTACTACAATAATAGAGGCAAAAAGCTACGTCAGACTTCCGAAAGAAATCTTGAACAAACTACTTCCTTAATTATGATGATATTAATAATTTGGCGAAGGTAATCTGCATTCTATTTCAGACCCTTTATATACACTGGCACCGCATCACCATTTCTGCACCATTGGCCAACAAAAAACTTTTAGCCTCTAACCAGATTTTCTTGCGATGACCTGCGAACGTTGCCAGTGAATTTCAGTATAATCGGAACGATAAAATATACTGGGCAGTACTGTTCGGAAATATAAAAAAGCCGATCTCACTGTGCCCAACATGAGCTTGTCAGGAGTAACCATACCTTTGAAGACATTCATTTCGAAGCTTGGGATTACTATCAGCAATAACTTTTCTTGGGAAAATCACGTGAGATCAATTGCTGAAAGTGCATCCCGAAAACTTGGTTTCCAGTCAGCTGCTTATGTCCTGAAATACTGTTTCTATATCTGGAGTGCAGCACCCAAACATACCCTTAAACTGTTAGATTCTGTTCAAAAAAACGCAATTCGTCTCGTGGGTGATGCCTCGCTCACAAACTTCTCTGGAACACCGTAGGAAAGTTGGCGATCTGGCTCTATTTCAAAGATATTTTCATGGACGACGCTCTTCTGAAATATTAACAATTGTTTCCCCCCTTGACAGTCCCCACGAGAAAAATCTGGCAAGTTGAGACTTCGCACCCCTTCGTGGTCACTGTGGAGACCTGCAGTACATCTCTTTCCAAAGACTCGTTCATTCAACGAACAGCGAGGCTCTGGAACACATTGCCAAGGGAGGTGTTCCCCAAGGCATATCACCTCCAGAAATCAAAGAAGAACACCAATTCCTACCTTATTTCCCTTGGTTCTCACGATTTTCTCTGAGCATTACAGGATATCTCTTTTCGTGGGAACCAGAGCATGAAAAACTGCTCTACAGCTTTTTATGTCATAGAATAGTCATATTGCCATTGCTATGTCAAGATAATGAACATTATGAAAAAAACACAAGATCAGCACCTCTACATCTATAATTATTGGTGTCACGGCGTTTGTCTCGGCATGACCAGGCATGACCAGGTGTCGAATCTCAGGAGTTTGATTTCTTTTTCACACCAAGAAGTATTAAGTACCATTATTGTATCTGGGATTTGACTCAAAAACGCTGTATTATTATTCGAATTTTCATGCCCAACAATTGCTACAAAGTTGGTAGAGCAAATTTGAGCTATACAAGTAATAGACTACAGAAATGCTTCAGTATGAAATAGGATAATTCACTTTCATCTTTCACAATCAAACGTTCAGTACTGGTAACAGATTTTTTGTACGCCATGACTTTTTTTGATTTTTTACCGCATCTACATTTCTATAGCAGTATACACATAATATTTTGATGGAGAGTTAGATAGAAATATGAGGACTTCAGGTACCTAATTCTAGATATATGTACATGGTGTACGGTGCTGGAGTTGAAGAATGAATTACATCTCAGTCAGCAGTCTCTGTCTGGAGACTGCCCTGCATTGATAAGAGTCAGAGAGTTCGAAATCGGTCTGTAGGTGTCTAGCGTGGCCTGGCTGAATCGAAATCATCAGGCATTCAGGGAAGAATCACTTATATCAGTATCCGTTCATACGAGTCGATGCATAGATTTCAGAAAGATGTGAATCAATGTTCTGCGTGGTATTAGCCAGGAAAGTAGGTAGTTGTTTTTCTACCGAAATCTACCATTGTTGTTCATTTTATGAACATTGTGTGGAAAGGACTTAACATTTCATTTCACTTTGAGTATTGTGACAATTTCGTAGTTAATAAATTCAAGGATGTGATCTTAACAAGATGAAACCAACAGTATTTTCGGGGATATATGAATACATGAGAGATGATGTTTTTTCGATAAATGCATGTCTTGGCAAACAATCAAGGATCAAGGTAGGTTTTCTACTTTCTTTTATTCGAGATTTTTTGCCTAAATGACCATAAAATTTAAATACAATTTGAAATGTATTTATCAATGAAAACATTTCTTGGATGTTTTTTATGGAGATTGATACACAACTACAGTATAAAGGCAATTTGGTTTGAATAAGAAATGATACGTTGTGTCAAAAAATCTCGAAAAAGGAAATTGATATACAACTACAGTATAAAGACAATTTGTTTCGAATAAGAAACGATACGTTGTGTCAAGAAATCTCGAAAAATATCTGACAATAATGACGGGGACAGTTGTTCAGTTGTTGTCAAAGTATATAAAAAAGTGTTGATTGAGAGCAAGGTATGCATATTCATCGGTTACTGGAAAAGCAAGATAGCTTCCCATCACTACAAATGCCTGATGATTGATCGGTCTCAGGAAATAATTGAAGAAATTTTATTGGTTCTCAGCAAAAGCGTGTATTCGTCGTAGTCAAATCCTAGTGAAATTGAGTCCCCGTCGCAAGTTATTTTTTCTCGTGTGAGCCGTAGGCGAATGCTGTTAATTATTCGAGTGGGAAATTCAAATTTCATGCAAATTGTCCACTTTACTATTTCTATGGCTTAAACATATGATAGTAAAATAATTGAACAACAGAAAAAACATCGAATGCGAATATAAAGTAATTCAAAAACTGTAATCAGGAGAATATTGTTGAATAATAGCGACAATCGTAAAACAATGAAGTTATTGTTTTACATGGTAAGAAAATGATGAATACTGTCTTTAGGTTAATCGAGGAGGTGGTATATTCATTATTCCAAATTTTTTGGGATTATCTAACCTCGTTTCTATAAAATAAAAATATGAATATTATTTCAATATACGTGTAGTAAGGACAAATCAGATGATTTGCCCCAAAATGTCACTGCGTTTAAAGAATTTTTCTATCAGAGAGCCTAGAAGAAAAATTCACTAGCTTGTCAGTGACAATTTGTATTGAAAAATTTTTGGAGAAGAGAAATAAAGGTATATAGAAAAAAATATCAAATTTTCACTTATCTTTGGACGTTTCGGGACCGATTCTGCTCCCGTTTTCAACATGAAGAGATTTTTTCAATTGCGAAGTCGTATAATATGTCTTGAAGCTTCTCAGTTTTCAATTACACTTGGTGACGTTGGCAATCAAAGGAGTTAAAGGATGTTTTCATTAATTAATCTTGAATTCACCATTTTCATGTTCAGATTTTAGTAGTGAATACCATGTTCTGTCTATATCAACTGAACAAGAAGCAATGCTATTGTCTCCGTTCAGAAGAATGCAAGCAGATTCTTTGATTTTTCTCTTCTGGTTGTTATCTTTTTCTCCAATGATTTTAATATTATTCCACTCTGCCATATGTTGTCCGTCTTCAGTAAGGATATGTTCAGCTAGTTTAGATTTATCGATGTTTCTTTTTTTATATTGTACTTATGTTCCTTCGTCC